GCTCTATTTTGTCCCATCGACAATAAAATAATATGTTTTGGTGCTTTTTTCTGAGTGCCAAAAGCTTGCAGTTTGTTGTGAAAAAAATATTGTTGTTCTGACTTTGCGGCTTCGAAGATAAATATGGCTACGTGATTGGTCAATTTTCCCGCCAAAGAACTTCTAGCCTGCAGTTGTTGGCGGTAGACGATTAGGGTGATGAGAGATTTGGGTGATCAGTAATTATATGGTGGTGGACTGGTGGTACTATATTCACTTGTTTGTAGTGTGTGCAACTATCTTCACATTTTCTTTCTTGCTTTGATAACTATAGCAATTGCCATATTAATGGGAAAAAAAAATATTCTACGGCTTTTTGCCGTCTTGAACGTCCACGCATTCTTTGCCCTAATTTAGCTTAATATACTGTTTCAGCATCTAGATATATGAATTCAAGTACCACCTGTGACACGTACGCTGGGGTATCAGATATAGTTTCATACTGCGTTTACAAAGTATCTGATTGGGGTAAAAAATGAAAAAACTAGCAGATAATGAACGAATTAAATACAAGTGGACGTCAGTTTTAACGACAAGCTTTCGAAAACACAAAGTATATGCAATAAATTTGCCCTATATGCGAATTTGATGCAAATTTAGTATCAAATTTGCCACGTGTACTTCAATATGCCAAGGTGCATGTATGCCAATTTGGTGACAAATATTATTACACTACATTGTAATTATCCCATCATATACTGATTCTTTTTGTATGGTATTATAGACAGCACAAGTCTCCAAGTCATTATCGAGTCTAGATAATTATCTAGACTTCACGTCTATTCTTTGCATTCTTATAGAACTTCGGATAATTTAAATACAGCTATTTCAATTAAGATTCTCCACGAGCAAAGCGGAAAAGTCGAATACGAGCACAAAAGGCTGCTGGGAATCGCTTTGAAAAATCATTAATTTGTTAGCGATTCCCAGCAACCTTTCACCCTCGTATTCGACTTTTCCGCTTTGCTCGTGGACAACCTTAATTGAAATAGCTGTATATGCTGCCAGGAATCAGTTGGCTGATTTTGAAAACCATGAAAGTATATATACAATTAGCTAGATCATTCGGATAAAAGTATAGAAGAAAATACAATTTTCTCAAATACATCTGCAGCACGGACATGCATGCTTTCACCTGACTCTATATACTGTATAGTACTCTATATGTGTATAGTCCCGTGCACACAGTCATGCACGCGCATTTTCATGTATTATTTATGTACCAGTTGCACTGCTGTTTACTCACGCAATAAATGCTTGCTTCGGCGCTATAGGACCTACATGTTGCTGTTACGGGAAAATATAGAGCTGCTCTTCTTTGTAACTTAGAGAGTTTGTTAAGAATGGTATTAGATCCATCATTCCATATTGTTGAGCAATATGTCAGGTGAGGAGATACTAGAGCATTATACATTTTGATTAGAATGTGTAAAGGAACAAAGGACTTGGCTCTTCTTAGTAATGCAATATTTTTTGAGATTTTTTTACATTGTGCGTCAATGTGTATACCCCACTTTAATTGATCGTCGATGATAAAACCAAGAGATTTTTTGTTGGTGACCCGTTTAATATTATTATCTCGTATGGCTAATGAAATCTCTGGGTCAGGGTTTATTTTAACGTGCAGTTCTACACAAAATGTGCAGTTCTAAACCCATTTGTGCAGTTCTTAAAACTCAAATGTGCAGTCACCAATTAAATTAACAAAAATATAACCTCAAAACAGTCTTCTCATGATTCCCAGTTGCATGTTTTGAAACAGTTTTTGTGGGTGGTTGGGTGAAACAAATCTTTGCCAGAACTTACGAGCCTCTAAATTCAAAATTTGGGAGGATACCGCCTACCTGTAGCCCCCCCCACCCCCACCCCACAGAGAATCGAGTTTGTCTGGCCCCACCCAACCACACCTTTATTCTGCCACCTATATACAAATTAAGAGTCTATCATAACTTACAACGTTAACTATAAATTTACAACGTTAAATATAGATAAAAATCCTTTGATCCACCAGTCAAACACGTGATTCTTCGTAACATCCCTATATGTGCAGTTCTAAATTTTTCTTAAAATAAACCCTGCTCTGGGTTGTCTTCAAATTTAGTAAGATGATGTCTAGAGCCAATTATCATAAATTCCGTTTTGCTATCGTTTAGCGTAAGTTTGTTACATCTAAGCCAACTATGAACATTCTCAAGATCTCTTTTAAGTTTAGTCTCGATTTCATTGGCATCTAAGCCGGCACACGAAAGATTTGTGTCATCAGCAAACAAGTTGGCCTTCGTTGTTTCTAGACACTTAGGTAGGTCGTTAATATACAAGAGGAATAGGATGTGGCCAAGGTTAGAACCTTGTGGTACCCCACACCTAATTTCTCTAGCATGTGATTTTTTTCCCATTCATTAAACAAATCGATTTTCTATTTTGGATGTAAGATTCAAACCGTCTTGATCGTTTCTTGCCTTGTTCGCCATTTATATTTTGTTTATGATTAATGGCCAATGGAAGAAACAACGCTTTCATATAAAGTATGACGTGTCTGATGACGTGTTGCAGCACCAGAGACGCTTTTTATGTGGATGATTGGATTTGCATATAAAGCGATTTTACTGTGACTTTTTGAGGACAGCCGGTCCTGTTTTGGCCCGCTTCAATTCGTAACCTTTCTAACCCAGACATCTTCGTCTATCTTTCTAGGTATTACCAATGCTAAATACGCCAGTTAAGAAATGTTACGCCTTCCTGTTCTTTTCCCTGTTCGCCATGTATATTTCGTTCTACTGGATGAAAAAAGAAGTAGGTCATTTCGACCCAAAGCCAGTTTTCATGGTGGACCAACGTTTTGATTCTATGCGATCAACAATTAATGTGGTTGAAGCACCAGTGACGCTTTTTATGCGGATGACCGGAATGCACATAAAGCGATTTTACTGTGACTTTTTGAGGACAGCCGTCTTGTTTTGGCCTGCTTCGTATGGAAAGCTAGTCCTGGTTTTCGATCAGGAATCGTCTCTGGATCACAAACTAGCGAACATTTTGGAGAGACAGTTTGATCAATTCTTCCCAGATCGCAAACTTGAAATACTCTACGAGCCTCTTCCGATGAACTATGAAACGCTGTTGAAGCTTCCTTGGCCGAAACGGGACACTGGCTACAATCGTCAAATTTGGAGCAGCTTTTTTAATGATTTATACACGAACGACACAGTCATTGCATGGGTGGATTCTGACACTGCATTTTCTACTTCAGTGACGCGAAATTCCATGTACAACGGTACGCGATTGAGAGTGATAGGAACTGATTGCACGCTATTACACGCAGCGTTTGCTAGAGGTTGCGCGAAAAGCGCAGAGATCTCCATTGGGCTGCCGGCTGTAGCGGACTTCATGCTGCATTTCCCTGTATACGTCTATCGCGATACGTATGCTAACTGTAGGGAATACTTAATGCAAAGATACAAAGCGCGCAACTTTGAGGAAGTCTACAGGAACATTAGTGCTTATGGCATTATTTGCCCCGTAACGACAATACTCAACTACGCATGGCACTTTGAGAGAGATCGCTACGACTGGAGTCTCAAGATTTGCACCAAACCTCTCGATGAATACAACAAACGCTTTCAAACCAACGCAACTATCAAGCCCTACGACATACAACCTGTCTTGGCAGCCCCTCAATCAAGCGTTCATACTGGTGAACCTGGGTCGGCACTTGATTCGGCTCAATTAATTCTAGCGAGTTATTGTTTGTCGCACAAAGCGGCGGGGCACAATCTAACATTCTGTACCGGCAAACGCAACCTTCCACTGAGCAATAACCTTATTCTTTTCAAATATGCAAGAGCGCCGGAGACGTGTAATGGGAATTTGACATTCACTTGTCTCGATGTTCTGCGCTGTCACTACAATCTAGTAGGTTCTGAGATTCTAGAGGACAAGCGCAGGATGGAATGGAGTGACGTGGAAATTGTTGAAAAACTTGTGAAGGAAGTAAATGCAACGTGTCCTGTTATTCATAACGGGAGCCCAGGAGGGAAAATCCCTATTGTCTAAAAGTTAAGGGTGATTGCTAGATAGTATACTTAAAAATAAGGTTTCCGTTTTTATAACGTAGAAAAAGCTATCCTAACGCAAAACTAAACCCTTTCCCTAACACTAACCCCAACCCTAACCCTAACCTAACCCTATAAACCTAACCCTAACTTATTTTAAAAATTGATATAAAAACGGAAACCTTATTTTGAAGCATACTATCTAGCAATAGACCTTTCCCCTTATGAGTGAAATTTTGATCTAGATATGCCTGGACAAAAATTTTATCACAGCTTGAAAGAGCATCACAAAATTAGTAATATTCCGAAGTTTCGTTGCGAAATGTTGTAAAATGCGGATAATATAGCCTTGCAAAGTTTGCCGTTTTTCAGTCATTTTGTATTACAAATGGGAAATTGGTAATCAGTTTGATCATCTGATGACAAAAAGACAAAAGTCCTGGGAACGAGGTTGCCTTGTGACGTGGTTTGCCGATAAAGTAAAATCCTGCACGACCAACTTGCTTGTTGTTATTTTTATGATCAAAGTCAAAGAGGAATGCCCCGAATAATGGTAGGTTAATTTACCAAACTCCCTTTAGTTGCTGAAAATGAATGTTAATCGTTGCGGAACACCCCGCTTTCGATCAAGAGACTACAAATGGAGCCAACCAAGACGCGAGATTTGAGATTCCCAAACAACAGAAAAATTTGATCAAAGAAATTTAGCGCGTGTGTTTTAACCAAGAAAATAGGAACAAGCCCTCGGTTGGTGTTTTAACCATGTAGTCTAACTTTGAATTTTCTCAGAGGGTCAATAATTTTGCCAGAGGGGCCTGCCCCCCCCCCCCCGCTCTAGCTACGTCACTTAATATAAAGGTATGCCTGTTTTCAGCATAGCCTAGTTTGTGGCTGTAAATGATACGGGATTTCGGAATACCTATAGCCACGTTTCGTGGCCCGATAAGGTATGCAGTTTCAGCATATTTTATAGCCACGTTTCGTGACTATAAGGTATGCCGGCCTGTTTTCAGCATACGTTTTCAGCATACTATAAGGTATGCCGGTCTGTTTTCGGTCAGTGTACCATTTTAGGCGTCAAAAAATTTTTTTCCGACACCAAAATTTTTCGGAACCTAACAAAAATTTTCGAAACATCACAAATTTGACCGCAAAATTTACAGAATTTGTCCCATTTATTTTTATAATAAACCAAAATTACCCGACTGTTCAGCGAATATTGCCCGACTGCCCAACAAACTGGGGGGGCTACCGCCCCCCCC